CACCTCCCTCCACATGATATACAAAGTACAAAACCAGGCTCATTTATTCTTCTTTTCCAATAAACGAGTCTTCGCGGTAACGTCGTTCACTGTAATGTCGTTTTTTGTATTCGCGGTAATGTCGTTTCTTGTATTCGCGGTAATGTCGTGTCACGTTCTATTATGATAGTTGATATATGTTTAACTTGCTAAATTATTCTTTTATATTGCAAAAAGATTTGTTGTTTGTAAAACTTTTTATGCATAAAAATTGTATGCTGTTAAATAAACATAGAAGAATTAAACAATGAGTGTCTATCTGAGTGATAAGCAAATATGGATAACAAACAAGCATAAAAGTTTCTTCATGAATGATACTAATCTTCCGATAAAAAGCATGGATAAATTTCAACAGCACACATACTGAATTATTTGCCATGGCTATTTTGAAAATTTTGCGGGCACATATTCCAATCTACTACATCTCGAGCATCAGATTTAACGATTTTGAAAAATGAGAAATACTCTGTAGCTGTTACTTAAAATGGAACTTTGATGAGCTTATCAGTTAATCTTTTATATTTTGCGGTTTGAGTGAGAAAAGGTTCGCCTCTTTCATTTATGTGATTGAGAGTCTGTCAATACACATAAAATTATAAGCAATCTCAAGAATCATATTTGTCCCAAGTCTCTGCGATTAGGAATAACCGAGCACGAGTGACTGACTCGAATGAGAAAAGAGTCCAGAACCAGAAAGAAGAAGATTATAAAGTAGTTTTATATTCAATTTTCTCTTCTAACATTGCGTAGTCAATGACAAGTTCATGTACCCATGAATGTTCAACTATCGGACTTGTACGGTATGTCAACGTTCTTGTGTATAAAACAAAATTTTCAACTTCTTTGCTATGTACAGATAATTTTTGTAGAAGGTATTATGGGTTCATAATAATCTCATTCATCCTAATCGTTCAGTTTCGACGCCGAAACGAGCCTTGCCAAACTTCAGCATATAACGGACTTGTTGTTCGGCGAACGACGCTATAATTTAAATTATTTGATTTTAAAAGATTGTCTGATAATTTAAATCCGTAAGATGATACACTGTATCACTACATTCAAATATTTTTATTTTTATTCAATATTCACATAATTGTTTAACTGTTCTATAATTAATAATAGAAAATTTTAAAATAATTAAATTTTAAAATACTGTTTAACCTCAATATATTAGGATCGGAGCCTTCCTAACGTGTTTGCAATTATATGAATTTTGACTTATGTTGAAATACTAAATAAAAACATTTTTATATAGTTTTCAATTGATAGAAAAAATTGTTGTAAATGTCTGTCATGTGAATTTTGATTGGTTACAATGATCGTATTCAGCTACAATATGCAAAAAGATGAAAGAGAACGATTCGTAAAAAATTAACTTTTCAGTGTTATACAAGGTCAGAACCAGATGAAAAAGGTTTAGTTCTTGGTGACACAGTTTACTATTTAACAGAGTATAATGAATGTTTAACTATCGGACTTGCACGGTATGTCAACGTTGTTGTGTATAAAAACTAAATTTTCAGCTTCTTTGTTATGTACACATAATTATGTTGACAGATCCTTTAGATGATCAGTTCATGAAAACTTCTATCCAATCCCGTTTAGAGATGAAAGTAAAATTGTAGTCTCGATATGCACCAGTATTTGTTGTTGAAATCAACCATAAAAGAAAATATAGACCTTTCTGAGTAAAACGGCGTTTTCCATTTAAAAAAATATTGCTGGGTTGTTGAGAAATGAGCATTTTAAAATTTCGACCAACTTGAAAAATGCGACATCTCTCATATTGACAACTTTGGGTTGCTCATATCTCGGCAATCATATGAGACAAAGAGCTTAAATATTTTGCATAATTAGAATCAACATTCTTCTTCAATTTAAAACAAAGCCGACTTCTGGGAATTGTTTCGTTCTCATACAGTGACTTGGATCCAGTAAGTCCTAAACTCATATTTTGTCCATTTCGGCGCCCTACTGGATCGAAGCAAAACATTTTCATAAAATTTTGAAAACACCATCAGATAGAGGACCGAGAATACTGCAACACCTGAACGTGCGAGGTTCTAATTCGCTTTCGCTCAAATAAAAACTGCATCGAAAGTAGCTGAAATGGACTGTGGCTGAAAATATCAGTTTTCAAAATCGATTTTCTCACATGGCATAAGATGAATCTTGTAAATATTTGGAGCATAGGTAGTCCCAACCTTGATCTATCAATAGATGAGAAAATAGTTAGTTAATTAGTTTAGAGTATCTTAATAAGATGCAGATAGTTAGTTAATTAGTTTAGAGTATCTTATGCAGTCCTACTAACGAAGTGTAGATTGTCGAGAGATTAGACAATAGCTATTTTACTATTTAACACAACAGTTGTAATAGTTTGTACATATACAGTTGTGCCAGAAAGTATGCGTATGACCAGTCCTTTTACTTTTGCTCAGTCATTTAAAAGATTTTTGTACTTCCAAATATATCAAAAGAAAGCTCGAGAGTTACTCTATCTAATCTAAAAGTTTCATCACGTTTCGACTTTTAATGACGAAGGTGTATAAGAAACGAGTTGGACAGTTTGCCTTCCTATATGCCAGAAAGTATTCGTACAACTTTAAAACTCGTATCTCCGCAAATGCAAATGTGATAAAAAATATCTCATTTTGAAGGGCAAGACACGGGCTACATTTTAGCAAAAAAGTAATTTTGTACACCGGTACAGCGATAAAATTTGAAAAAACTGCAGATTTAACCACCTTATTTGCAGGAGGTCTAGAAGGGAACGGGGATCCAAGACCACCGCATCAACCAGATCAAAGACTAAACAGTTTTCATTCACAATTAGAATATCAATCTGATAACGAAAATAATAGCGAAAATAACGGCGACTGCTTCGTTAATTTCCAGCACAATTTACATGAACAATACCTACGTTTCGCTAATGATGTGGACACCCCAATAGTAGCTCGTCAGATCGAGAGAAAAACTAAATCGGAAGATATTGCACTAAACATAAAATTCATCAACAATCAACTTGTATACTATCACAAAATAATACAAATGCAAGCCAACCACACTGACGCCGTCTATGTAGCATGGCGCGATGATAAAGGTGGGCTCTGGGATACACGACAACTTGAAAAATGGACTGACATAAAATTAGTACAAAAAACAAAATGTATGGCCTATATCACAGAGCAAACAACAACATGGCAGGCTACACTCAAAAGACGAGTAGCTGTATTAGAGCAAGACCAGATATTAGATAGTGCAGCGAGAAATATCGACAAGGACATTTCTGTACAAACACAAAGTGAGTTCTGTACGATAAAAAGTAACCTTGAGATCTGTTCTAGGAAATTTATCGAAATGAGATTAATGGATGAGTAATGTGTGAGGGTGAGGGTGAGTATAAATAAAGTTATCTTCTGTTGGATTTTGAGCTCGTCCAACACGCTATAAAACGAGCGAGATCTGCTCATGCAGATAAGGTCCTTCAGTCCAAAATTCTTTCCGAATGTCACAGGAGAAAATCTCGTTTCCGGATGGAAATATGCAACTTTGTATGCTCAGTATGAGAACGCTTGTTACTATTAGGTAAGGTCGGATTTCACTGAGCCGGCACCCCTAAAAACGCTTCAATTCAGAACTTATGGCCGAGGAAAAACCGTGTTCGGAATAAGTTTTTCATGAGGCGTCAGAGATCTTTACATACCTTTAGTAGGACTATCGATTGCATACAGCCAAACCTTCCCGGCTTTTAGCTCATGTAATACTGGGCGGACCTGTGCGGAAGTACCCATCAACCAACCCTTGCGTGTCATTGGCAGGATATACAACTTTCAAAATGTCTTCCACAGCATCAAAATATGGTATCAATGTGTCAGAATTCCAGCTCACACAGCCTTCTTCTAACTCCCAAGCATCCATCCTATGCACAAAGGGGATGGTCACTACTCATAGAGCTACTGGCAAGTCTGTTGAGCGGTCTGACCAAACGTTACAGAGTTTCATATTTCTCTTTTCGAATCGTATGTAGACAACCGTTGTGGGACTACAATGTTTTTTGCAGATATAAAAATTAAGCTTTTCTAGAATAAAAGAGCAGGCCTCGTTGAAAAAAGATCTTTTTTACGGCGGGTCACCGTCACATGACCGTACCTTAGAGGTCCCAACTTTATAATTTTATATTCTATCTCTGTGAGCAACGTTATTGGGTCAAATTATAGGTGCCACCTGAAAATAGCAATCCATTACCTATTCGTAAACCTTTACCGAATTGCTAATAGAATCTCACGTAGATATTACGGACAAGCTTACAATCCAGACCGAATCAGAATAGGCCAAGTTGGAATTCCAAACCGACCTAGGCTGCTACACAATTAAACCTTTCAATAGTTGAAAAGTTCTGAGAATAATTTTTACTTCAGGTATTTGACAATTTTATCAAGAAATAAATATGCTCGACTGAAAAAGTGTTTGTTTCTGAAATCGGGTCTGGAACTTACTTTTTAATTGAGACAGAAAAAACTCGTATACTTCAGCAGAGAAAGATTTATTTTCCTCATCTGGCTTCGTTCAGGAAGTAACCGAAAGACGAATAGAGTTAGAAATACTAAAAGAAGTTGTAAGATCTGATGTGATTACGACCTTTCGGTCTTAATTAAAAAATATGTTGCAGACTCTTTTCAGAAAAAAAACTTTTTCAATAGAGCTTACTCGTTTCAGGGTGTCAGAAACCCGAAGAAAAAATATTCTCAGAAGTTTTCAACTATTGAAAAAGTCAATGATTTCAGTCTCGTAAATTATAATCTGGCCTGTAATATAGAAATAACAAAAGATTTCAGGAATTTTTATAACCTCCTCCGACCCCCTTCCCTTCCAATAATAGAAGACCATTCCCTATTTGGAGACCGCTGCCGATTATATGACGTGAAAGAGAAGACCATGGTCTTCTATTCCGGACTTATCTATCGCTTTCTCACTTATCTATCCACTGTACTTATCTATTGCTGGATAGAGGAGCATCAGAAATTTGAGGGCGCTTTATCGAAAAAAACATTCACTATACTGATTCTGACGAATTATTTCATTTTCGCATTCTTAGTAAACGAGAAACTTTGACAGAAACGGATGCTTTGAAATCTGACTTAAACATAAATGATTATGGTTTTTCTTATGACAATATTACTTTCAAACTTTTTGAAACAGTCAATCGTCGCTATACTTACCACTTTTGCCCTCCTCTAACATATTCCATCGCATTATGCATTGCGCTTCCTCCCGTACCTTTTGCAAATCCTAGGTTAATGACTCTGTCATTCAGTGCCGTTTGTGCCATGGTTTGGAAATGCCATTCCAGAGTGTCATTATGTAGCACATTGAGCCATAGCGCTGGATTAGTAATGTTGTCATTATCGTTATTTCCCGTCTCGACGCCAGCTTCGGTTCATGCCTAGAGCAATGGCAAGCCTGGCACTGAGAAATGAACTTGGTTCTCACTTGGTCTCACTTTGGTTGAGAAATGAAGGTGCTGGAAGGTTTTTATTTTGCTATGGTCACAGTGGAAAAATCGAATTTCCCGGAAAATTCGTCTTTTGAACTTTCTTTAATTTGGACAACAAAATAAACATTGCCACTAGATTCACCTTCATTTCTCAACCGAAGTGCATGGAACTTGAAGAGTGAGCATAAGAGAAGGTCTTGTATCTAATATCACTATTGGAACTACAAAAAACAAGGCAGGCCTTTACAGGTTTTCCAGAAAACCTCTGAAGATCTTTAGGTAAAATCTCCGTAAGAGAAATGATTTCAACATTCGTAAAGTGTACAGTAGGCAAAATTGAGTGGGTCTGGAAAGTTTGAATCATTGAAGGTGTCACTTAGATCTAGTTTTGTGGAGGACAGTTTGGACTATAAATCCATCAAAAAAAAATTGCCACATTTCTATGTCAGTTCTCAAAGCTACGACCTGGTTTTCCAAAGATCCTCTCAAAATCAGATCTTTCAACTTTTCTAAAAATCAATTTTGCTTCTGAAAAGATGCGTACTGGTCTTGGCTATTGAATACTGAAAACCACAGGTCTCCGTCTCATTCCTATCAATAGTTATTCAAAAAGCAACCGATGCTCTTGTATTTTGGAAGGGAAGGGGGTCGGAGGAGGTTATAAAAATTCCTGAAATCTTTTGTTATTTCTATATTACAGGCCAGATTATAATTTACGAGACTGAAATCATTGANATCATATAGTGTTATGGATCCATCACAAATTGTGTCACCGAAGGTACTTCGTGGTTTATCAGTTAATCGTCGACAAGCATTTATGGAAACGTGTGGTTATGGTTGTAAGTGTTTTAACACTCATGTTATTAGAATAGAGCATAATGTTTCACGTAGTATAGAAACCTTCATGATCACGGGCTTTATGAGAAACTATCGAAGTTATGGCTGCTTGCCTATAGCTACACTCACATATATTGAGAACTTTTAATGTAATTTAGACGAGCGCACTGGTTAACAGTGATATTGTAATTATTGTGAGAAATTGACAGCCGATCCGTATGTATTCACTGAAAGGAAAGAGCTGTATAAGGTTGATAATCGGCCTACTTTATTTTTTGCCTGAAAAGTGTTCGGTGAGTGGTAGGAAAGTATATTCAGTCAGTTTTAAGTAATTTCGCGTTCTTTCAGTAATTAAAACACGACTAATTCCTCTTCAATCGGGCGCCAGTTGCTCGTCCCTGAAAGATCGGCTATAGGTTACGTAAAATGTCTTTTTCTCGTGCTCCTTTCATGCAAACGAAAAAGTAAACATATCGTTGGATAGCTCCTAAAATTCTCTACAAAATGTGTATAATATAACAGTTAACCACAGTACTTTGATAGCAGTAGGGCGCTTAGAATAATCCTACACATACAATACAATAGACAATCCTCTCTTGTGTTGTCCCTTTTTTCCTCAAACAAGAAAACATACATTTTTCTATTACATATCATTTTGAAGCTCATGGAATTTTCTACAAACTGGCATATTTAGAAGCTCTGTATTGTTGGGACCAGTCTCCAACTGAATGGAGTCGTATTGTCTTTTATTCCTAAAGTTTTAGCCCTAAAGAGCTCTCCACACCATTTGTCGTCCATCTGAACTGAACAAATTAATCTTTGATTCGTCCCTGAAGAGAACAGTATCCCAGAACTTCTTCGGCTTCATGGAATACATGTAGGCATAACCAAGGCGTTTTTGTCGATGAATTTGCTTGAGAAGAGGTTTCTCTCGAGCAATACGCCCTTTGCAGCTGGCATTACTTAGACGCGATCGAACCGTACACTCTTTGTTTCACCCTACACCTTTTGGTATTTGGGGTAATACTACTACTACTACGAACCGATATAGACTTAGGAACATTCTATTCATCTTAACCAGCGTCTACTTCAGTTTTTGTTTCTTACTTTTGTTAGTAAACTGTCAGAATGTCGTATATGCGTCTTTCTATTAGTCCGCCATGTAAAGTTCATGGCCTTGCTTGGCTGTGTATATGACTTCAACTGAATGGAGTCATATTGTCTTTTATTCCAAAAGTGTTCTACTTTCTGAAACACTCCTTACGCGATCATTCGAAGTCAAATCGCGTGAGAAAACGTGATGAAAATTCTTTTGAAATGGCTTCCGTATATAGCAAACTTGCACTTGTAAACTTGGCTTGTAAAACTTTTTCCGTATCACAAACTGAAAAATCAGCAAATTCGGATTCAGCACCGAGTTTTGAACAGACTAGAGATGTTTAGCTGATTTTTTGTTTTCATTTTTGAGATCCAAATTTTTCTACAACGAAAAATGATCTCGTTTAGTGAAATGCTTCGAAGCCTCCCTGTAATAGGGCCTTTTGAAAATTACTTTTTTGCTAAAATGTAGCCCGTGTCTTGCCCTTCAAAATGAGATATTTTTTATCACATTTGCATTTGCGGAGATACGAGTTTTAAAGTTGTACGAATACTTTCTGGCATATAGGAAGG